GGGCAGAACGTACTGATCAGTATGTACTCAGAGTACACAACACAATATTGCACCTATACCAGGAGCTCAAGTATGTATTCAATTTTAAAATTTAATTTTTAAAACTTATTCCTCAGTGAGCATGTGGTCTTGAGTGAGAATCAACTTTGAAACGCTTCAGTAAAAGTAAAGAGATGACTTTAAATGACAGGTAGTACTGGAAACAGAGGGAAGCATGGAAAGAAATGAATTTCAAATTGACATAGTTATAAAATTTTGAGTGAAAAAACTGAGAGTAGAAATACTAATTGCTAGGAGAGAATAATCTTATACTTGTCGAGTGCTTTTTCTTTTTCAAAATACTTTCACAAAACAGTCTGCAAGATGTTAACTGACTTATGCAGAAGTTACAGTGTACACATCAGGACAGGGGCATGTGTTTCTCGACTTTCTGCCCAGTGTTCTTTCTACTATGTCATGATACTACCACATGGCTAGAGCTCAGATTATCATGATGCACATGTATTTACAAATTTTGTCTGTCAAACTCCTATTCACACTTCAAAACCCAGCTCAAATGTCACTGCTTTGGGACGCCTTTCACGGTACCATTGACAGAGTTGATGGCATCATCTTCTGTAATGATAGGACACGCAGCAACCCATTTTTTATTTAGAGGGTTGTCTTCTTCCCTCTCCTCTCGCTAAATTGGTATTACACTATCCACTATGTAGCGCAACACTTGGCACATATTGGAATCAATAATCATGAATGAATACTCACTCAGTGCTATTCTGGACAACAGCTGCCTTCTGGGAACTCGTGATAGATATAAGGCAGGATGGCCTCTTTTACCTAGTTATAGCTAGGGAAGTATAAACAATATATGACATAGAGTACATCTCATGGCTTAAAAAATTAACCAAGACTTTGAACAGCATTTAGAAATTGTGCATTTTTTAAATATTAAATATCAGTAAATAGTAAAAGACCCTAATAGGAGCTCTGGGGCATATAGAGTTATCCGATGAGCAAATATGTGAGTCAGGGGCTCAGGCCTTGGAGTCTTGAGTTCAAATCCAAGTTTATGTTCTCTGAACTTGCACAAATAACTTCAATTCTCTAATCCAAAATCTACTGTCTTTGATCGTTCTCTTTTTATAATCTTATTTAAAAACTATATTCAGTCTTCTGCTTCTACTTTTGCATCTGTACAGCATATCCTCAACACAATATCCAGTGACCTCTATAAAAGGTAAGATCTTCTGCTCAAAGCACCCCAACTGCACCGTTAATAGGAATGGGGGCAAGGGGATGGGAGTCTTGTAGATGCAGCTCCAGGAGAAAGCAAAGCTCAATCGTTACTCTGAAATATCTGATCTGAAAAAGATTGGATTCAAAACCTATCCATTTTTCACATGAAATCTTACCTTTGACTATTTCAACATGATAAAAGGAATCCTAAGATTTATTAAATATAATTCAGCTATTGTAAATGGTTATTAAAATGAAATCGAATTTTTTCAACTATTTGTAAAAAGTTTATGATAGCTATCAAGAATTTGGAGCAATTGTCATTAAAGAGTCTAGTCAGAAATTGTGTTCCATTGTTTTAAACCTAAAACCTGATACCAAAAATTCATGGTCATGGAAGTGAGTTGATGTCTCTTATTTAAACTGTTATAAGATTTTATATAAGTTTTTTAAAAAATAACAGTGTAATATTTCCCCTCATGCTTTGTTTTTTTACTTTGTCTATAATAGTTATATAACACAGGGAAAAGTGTAATAATTTGTTTTCCACCAAACCCCAGCATAAATATTCCCAAATTCCCTTTAGTTTTCCTAGTCTGCATACAAATATCATGACACTCTATGTAAAGTATTTGGTGCAGTGCCCAGCATGTAGTAATTGCTCAGTAAATGACAACTGTGTCGTGATGGTAGTGGTGACAAAGATGTTGCTTGATGCTGACGAAAGCCTCAAATTTTGAAACTGATTTTACATGGCAGTTCCTACGACATCCTCAAATAATCAAAACCCTAACTTTTCCATATCTTACAGGAAATATAGTAAACATAGTAGCTTTGTGAAATATAATAATAATTATATACACATTACAAGAGCAAGAGTTGAGAACCTTATTTTCCACATACTATACTGATATTGGTTTGTTTTGTTTTTTTTTTTAGTTCATTAAATTGGGCTTGGTACTGATACAGTCTCAGCACGCTACCCAAATTTCAAGGCAGTAAATAAGAATTTATTTAATTCAACCCTGAAACCATGAAACGTAACCTGAAGAAAATATTTCGTTTTATTGTCATTTTGTTCACTTTTCTCAGGGTTAGCTATAGATCAGAAATAAAAATGGTGTCATCACTCTAAGAAAAAATCTCATGCATTTTTCATATATGTGTGCCATTAATATACCTTGAGCATCCTGAGCCTGTCACTTTCTTTTTTTTTTACTTATATTTATGACTTTCTACTATCTGCAAGTGAGATTCCAACTAGAAGGAAATATTTATATGCACCAGGGAGTCATACATAATTTAATGCTGGAGTGAGAAAGAAGAAAGTGTTCCAGCGTGTAATACAACATCCCTTACAAGGATTATGTAGCTGAGTAGGAGTCGAAGATCAAAGGATTTTCTTCTTAAGCAATACCAGGTATTGAGAATAAGAACAAATTTAATTCGTTGTTTTTTTTTTTTTATTGACTATTCCCTAGAAAACCAGGACTTGCTTTATGTTATCTCTGAATTAAGGGATAAAATTAAAATTTTCCTTGGAATATTTAGAGAGAGAATTTTTATTATATAGCACATATATTTTTCAGCTCTGAGAAAGCCTAGTAACAGAAAAGATGGATACATGTTATTGATATAATAATAAACTCAATCATATATTCTGGCAATAATCTCTGGCTTTCTAAGACTTAACATTAGGTACATTTATTACCACACTGTATAATGTGTTTATACTCTTGGTACCTCATACTTACTGATTTATAGGAAATTGGTGTTAACTGAGAATTTTAAAGCCTTTTTAAATTTTCGATTTTACAATTCATGGTACTTGTGAACAGCATGAAAATTGAAAATTAAAGACTTCATACTGTATTATAAAGTATAATGCTTCAATTTAATAATGAAAACATGATGTCGTATAAAAACACAAAGATGTGTTCAATAATGTTAAGTGAAGAAAATAGAACGCAAATTTTTCTACAAAATTGGAGTAAAACTAGCAAAATGTATATTATGCATATTTTACATATATAAAGACATTGTGATGGCCGTTAACACTATTCACAAATATTCCAGCTTTCTCATCCTTTTGGATACATAATTGGTGTATTTGTGAGCTACCGTACCACAAATTGAATGGCTTAAGACAGCAGAAATGTACTGTCCCACAGTTCCAGAAGCTAGAAGTCCAAAACCGGTGTGTCAGCAAGGTTGGTTCCTCCTGAGGGCTGTGTCAGAGTCTGTTCCAGGCCTCTCTCCCAGCTTCTGCTAACCTCAGACATACCTGGGCTTGTAGGTAATGTTCTCCCTGTGTTTTCACATTGTCTTTCCTCTATGCACGTTCATCTCTGTCCAAATTTTTCCTTTTAATGAGGACACCAGTCACGCTGGATTAGGGCTCACTTTAATGACCTGATTTTAACTTGATTGTCTTTGCCAAGATCCTCTTATTTCCAAATAAAGTCACATTTACAGGTACCGGGGATTAGAACTTGAACGCCCTTGGCGGGGGAGTTATAGTTGAACCCAGAGTAGTAGGGTTGCACTTTGAAGTCAGGCATGATGACGTGATTTATCATAACCAGTGAAACATGTGCAGAATGGCTGTGTGTCATTTCATCACATGATCCTACACAACCCATTTTCTCCCACCTCAGCAGCCATTGAAGGATGTGATCAGGTAGCTTCACCATTAGTCTGAGGCCCTGAGTTACTATGATGAGCCTACCCTCTTCGGATATCATGAACAAAAAACAAAATTCCCCCATGTTAAGTCACTAAGATGTTAGAATTATTTGTTACTGCACCAGAACCGAGCCTGTTCAAACGGATATAAAAATTGGTACCTACTAGGGGAGTGCTACCATAATAAAAACCTAAACTATATGGTATTGGCTTAGTGGTCAATTGGTAGAATGCAAAATAAGTGTTAATGGAGATTGGAAAGGTGGCGATCACTGTTATACAGTGGCAAAAACTTGTAAAAAGCTGTAACCTGTGGTTCCTTGAGAAGCATATCGCACACCTAGTGAACCTGTAGCTCTAAGGGAAGTAGCAAGAAAACAAACTCGTAATACTGTGTACTTACACTGTTGTTGCATTTGGTAAGGTTTACGAGAGGGAGATGAGCTCAGAAGCTAACTGGCCCAGTTTGCAAGCAAGAAAGGCAATAGAGTCCATGAATTCAGAGAGTTGCAGAGAGTTGCTTCTCAGCCCCTAACAGTAAAATGTAAATTTTAGAAATGCTTTGAGTCCCAAAGCTAATCGAAACCCAGCCTCAAAGCAAGGATCAAGTCAAAGGGGTCATACCCACTGCTAAAACCTCCGAATGGTTTAGAGCAATGGTCAGCTACGGCTGTGGTGTCCAGGAAAGCCTTTCAATGGGACCAAAGGGCTCAGAGTGACAGACGGGGGAAGGATGGGTACGCAAGTCTAGAAGTCTAGAAAGGAACTGTGCTATGGGTATTGACACATGAAATGGATTGGACTCAAACAGCTGGGACGCTTACTCAGTGCCTGAGAAAGATGAGCTGCCCAAGAGCCCTAAGTATAAACTGACTGATTCAGAAATGAAGGGAAAACAAGAGAGAATGAAAATGGCTGCTCTGTCAGGGAGTTAAAATTAGAGGTGAAATTAGAGTTTTATTTCCTTTAACTATGTTTTATACTTGTTTTAATAGCGTCTTTACAAAAACAAAGAAATACTATATAAAAATTTAAACTCCGGTGCCTACTTTGTTCTTTCTTAAGTAAATAACATTCTCCCAAGCAGTATCAGACCAAGGTCAGGGGTGTGAGAAGTGACTTGGCATCATGAGAATCTCAACAGGCATCAAAAGAACTTGGCTCTGCTGCAAATTTCCACAGATCCCCAGGCCAGTGAGTACAGATTATATTTGGGCAAAAGAAACTCTTTTTGGTAAAATTTGGATAGGATGCAATTCATGTCTAAATGTTTTAATTATTTGTTATATTTGTTACTGAAGGAATGTCAGATTTATTGCAAACTCTTAAAATTCACTTGATTCATTTTGTATTATAAAAGGTATATAAGGGCTTCTGTTTCTACTTTTAAACAAATCCATTAAATTCCTTACTGATTCAAATTTGCCGTTATATGCTTATAAACCCAAGAGGATATAAAAAAATCAAGTTCTTGTTTAAGTCTAATATGTTATTATCTATGATAAACAAGTTCATCTGATCTATTCAGGGAAGAAGATCAGATCCAAGGGAAAAAAAAAAGCAGAAAAAAACTAAGGTTATAGAGAGCAAAGGGGAATCTTTGATTGCAAGGACTGTAAGATTCAAGGCAAGGTCTCAGTGGAATTCTTTGGGTCTTGATTTCGATTTAGAAAGTAAGAGAACAATTCCAACCCAGCCAAATCTAACCGCTTTGATCTCGGGAAATCTACCTTAGTCTGGAAAAGAGAAATTGAGATCATTAATCCTTTGGAAAATTAGACTTCAACAGTTTGGCAACGTTTTCTGAATGGTCATTTTATGTCTTTACAGTTTATGTATCTCTCTGCAAATTCAAATTGGTTGTATATTCCTATGTGGAATAAAATTTTAAGGTATCTTCTCTGCCTTAGAGAGTTACCTATAAAGATAAAGCTAATTCTCCTCACACTCCACTACCAACACACGCGTGGGTACAGGCAGACACACACGTGTGCACGTGCATGTGAGTGCACACACGTGAGCGCACACACACACGATGTTGTCATCAGTCCTATAACTACAGCCAGATCCAAGCATGCCCCAAGGGGCTGACAAAAAAAAAAAATCAAACCCCAAAATAAAGAATTATATGCCAAAAGCAACTCAGAACATTAGCGGCTTATGTTGGCCAAACTCTACGGAATATGTACAAGAATGTATGTTGAGGTATTCAGCCAAAGAAGAAGAGAACGTAGCTTTATACTGGGGCTAAATTTATCAACACAAGCACACTTAGCAGAGACTCTGGGTTTGACTTCCTTGCTCAATAGCCGGGAGTGGTTCTAACAGTGTGCTCAGCTGGTTCACAGAAGTCTTGATTCAGTTCTGGACCACACTAAGCAAAGCTGAAATGCCAGAAATTCCTCAGTGTGACGTAGTGAATGGACTCTGAAGACCCTGGAAGGCAGGACGGCTGAAATGCATTTATCATGTGACCCAAGCCCACTCACTCTCAGACTATGTGCCCCAAAGTGATCCAGGAGGCACTCCCTTCACTGAGTCATTTGAGGACAGTGCCAACATCTATGAAAAGCTCTTCAGTCACTGATCTGCATAAGTTAGGGAGTCCACTTGCAAGATGCTATACTGAAATGAGATTTCTGACTTCAGCTGGATTTGAAAGATCCTGGAGTTGCAAAAGACTCACTGAGGTGGTACTTGATTTTTTTATTAATGAAAAATGTTCTAAACCTAATAAACAGAAGTCTGACGTGACAATCAAACAACATATGGAGTTCAGACCCGGTAACTAGAGTCCAGACATGGTAATCTGAGTAAGTCTTCTAACACATTTTGAGGGTTTTTTCCCCCTGGTTTCTGAGCCAAGAGCTGAAATAGATATCTTCACAAACTGGAAGGCTCCCTAACTGGCTCACGAGCCCACGGCAATAGGGATAGGATGGAAGAAAAGAAGTAGGAATCTGTTTCTCCTCCTCCTCACCAAAACAGTAAATCCAAACTTAAAGAATCAAGAGCTAATTTCTATTGTAGTGATTAACATCATCATCAAAGATTTGAAAGACACAGGAGTGGTAACCCGATACATCCTCATTTAACTCTTTTGGTTTGGCCAGTGCAGAAGATACACAGGCCTTGTAAACAGAAGTGGATTCTGAGAAGCTGAATCACATGGCAAAAAAGAGGACTTGTTTTGGAAGTTATCTCCTCACAGGAGCAAAGCCATACAGGCCTGGCACTTGGAATGCGTCTCTTAATCTGGCAAGTGCTTCTATTATACCCTGATACAGAGATAATGCCAGAAGTCACTTTCTGTCACTTAACAAGAGAGTAGTGCGCCTTAACTTTCTTGCCCCAGGGTGAGATCAGTTCTCTGCCCTGTGCCATCCCCGAGTCTACAGAACACTGCCACCTCACCATCATGCTGGGTTACTACTTTGATGACATCACCTCAGGCTGGCAGGACCTGGAGAATAGGAAATAGCAGGTACTCTCAATGCCTTAGACAGAGATACAGGTGCTAAGGAGCAGGGGACAGATCCTATGGGAGTAAGGAAGCCTGACGACTCAGGCAAGAAGACAAGTTAGGATTCAGTGGCTTTAGGTGTGTTAGACATCCCTTCTACAGGAAAAGACAGGCTTCTCACCCGACCCACAAGAGGCATAGCACACTGTGTATTTCTTCAAATATGGAAGGCAGAATAAGTCACATATGGAGAGATGTTCTGATACTTTTACCAAGTAACCTGACGGCCACTGGCCTTGAGTGAGGCCAACAGCAAGATAATGGTCTCTGGCTTGGTAGACAGTAGAGCTAGGAGTTCTGTTATCAACCTTAGGACCCAAAGATGTCAGGGGAACTCAATGGCTCTGATAGATCAGGATGTTGGGTAGAGACTGTAACAAACTCTTCGAGGAGAATCAGAGAAAAAGCCCCTTAGGTTCTAATGAGAGGTCTTCTTTAGATGCTCATGCTTTGCTATTAAACCCAGGTTCAGAGTAATGACTTATAATAGGATACAGGTGACCATGGATCTGAGCTGTGTATATGACCTGGGTGGCATAAATTCTGGCATATCCATCTTCGAGTGCAAAAGATATACAGGGAACTGGGCTCCTAGAAGTCCCAGAGACACAAGGAAGTTGCTGGAACAGGTTTCTTATCCCTCTCAGCCTGCCTACTCCTGCTGCTCTGCCAGCTCTTTTCAGCCTTCAGAGTAAGAGTGTACCAAACCACATCCCTTCTGAGCAATAAACCCACTTTATAGTAAAAGGAGTAAGGTCATAGCCGGTGCCCGTGGGATTCACTGGTTTTATCATATTCCACATCTACATGCAGAAGACACTATAACAATGTCTATCAGAGACTTGGTTCCAGTGACCAAAAGGACCTAGCATTTGCAAAGCTGGAGTACTACAGCGCGAGATGCTGTAAACGCTCTGAAATGAAGCAAATCTGTGGAACAGAACAAATGGTTCCGCCAAATTGAAAGCGGACGATTTCACGCATGTCCTGACCAAGGGTAAAGATAAGGGACATTAGGTTATGCTACTAATGATTATTTCTGACCAGCATAAAGAATTGACAGGGAGCTACTTCCTGGGGGACAGGAAAAGAATATGGCTAGAAGCCAGAGCATCATCTGAGGAATCCTCCTTGTGTAGGCACATCCTGGGAAAACGGTAATTCATTAACCTACTCTGTGCCAGGCACTGTGAATACAGAAGTTAAAAAACAGACAAGATTAGGATCGTCCTGACCCCCAAATACCTGAGGCAAGGGATTATCAAAAGGGTTGCGGAAAAGACAAGTCATAAATTCTAACTACAGCCTCTCAAGCGTTGCACAAACTTTTCCCTCTCTTTTCTTCTCTTTGTCCCATTATTGTATACAAGTTTTATTGGTGATAGTCAACCTACAAAGTTAGTTCAGTGATGGCAGAATATCAGGATGGTATATGAAAAGACACCTGGAAGAAAAAAGGAGCATTTCTCAGAGATACTGAAACATGCAAAATATGACAAAGCTTTGGATTGCTTTCCACTAAGGAGGGCGTGAATGGCTTTTTGGTTGTGTGAGTAATATCACTTATTTTTCTTTTTCAGTGTAAGTGGAGGGAAAGGATGTGTCTCTCAAGCAGCCAGAGAGGTAGGATCCAGTGAACACTGACTTTTTCTTTTTCTGGCCTCCCAGCAACTAAACCCTCTTCTTCAGTATGTGTAGAATTGGGGAGGAGCAGTACCCCACCTCCCATTCTGAAAGCCAAAGTAGAGGCACCTCTCTTTTCTAGCCCCGGCACCCAGGGACAAAAAACTCAGCCAGTCAGATTCTCTTACCTGGGCCTGTGAAACTTAAAGAAGTGATACACAGGTGTAGAAACACGTTAGAAAGTATATACAACAGCAAGATCATCGATAGACCAATGGCGTGTCCACCAACAAGAGCTGGGAGCAGGACTCTGACCAGGCCACGCATGTGGGCTCATCTGGGCAATGATTCCAGCTCCCTTCCATCCTGTTTTCTATGCTTGTTTCTCCAGCCGTTTTCACCAATCCTTCTAGCACACTGCCTTTTAGCCTAGGTTAATGAGATGTTTCTACTGCTCACAATTAGGATCCTGAATGAATATACACTGTCACCCACCTTCTGGTGAGTCTACCAGATTAAGGTTCATAGCCTCCATTCTTGTCTCCCACCTTCGGCCTCTCTCTATTCTAAGCAATCCAAGACATTCAAAACAGAGTATTCTAAGTCTAGATTCTGATCATGACATTTCACTGCTCAAAATCTCAATAAGCATCTCCCATCATTCCTCACCTCTACCATCACCTCTACCATTCACCTACTAAATTAAGGGATATCCTCTCATCATGGATCAGTTTTCTGGCATTATGCTCACTACTTCTCTGTGTTTCTATAGAACTTTGTGACTTCCTGTTTTCCAAACACATGCCATGATTTATGGTACTGAACTTCTGCTCATTCTGTTCTCTTCACTGACAACATTCCATCTTCACCTGTCAAAATTCTAGCTATCTGTTAAGGCACATCTCAAATGCCAGGTCCAACATGATGTCTTAAAAATCTCTCCCACGAAATGTGTAATCTCTCCTTTTGAATTTTTCAGAGTACATCCTGTTTCTTCTATTAGATCATAGATTTCTGCATTATAGTTATTTGTGCACTTTTCTTCTCATTTTATAATCAGAGTAGTTTATATATTTTTCTATGTAGATCTTGAAGCACCTGGTAAGTACCCCAAAAATATGATTGAAGTAGATTGGTGGATGGATTCAGCACATTACACATCAACCTCCAACCCATGAGATGATACCTGTTCTGTGAAAAGAAGGTAAGTCACCTGTGCCTGACTGGCTAATACGTTAACTCGAAACCAACACATACTATCTTCAAGTATGGCTTCTTGTTCTAGAGAGGCTGAAAAAGAAGCACTCGTGGACAAAAACCCAGCCAGTTTTTGTACTTCCAAGAATCTATTATAGCTAGGGCTCTTCACGTGACTTGGGTGCCAAGAAAGCAAACACAACCACGTTACAGTTGGAAGTGGACGTGTGTGCCTTGTCCAGGGAATTGGCCAGAGACATGTGTGTCTGGTTATAATTATGTCCTTTGTATGCTCAAGTCTGGAAGGCCCCAAATATAGCCAGTGCCACATGACATTTCAATGTTCTTTTTCTTTTTTCCAGGTCAATGTTATAGTATCTACCCTAGGCTAGTACCTTATGTTTGTAGTTTTTCATTTTGCATTTTCTAAAAAAGACATAGGAGCCAGTTATTAAAAGAAATCATCTCTTGTTTTCCTGGAATGTAAAATGGAATTTTTGATTAAATTTCTTTGACTTATTTATAACACATCACACTAAAGTATCTTCCCTAGACACTAAGACTTGAATGAATTTTAAATTGTGGGCTCTATATGAGATTTTAAATAACCACGATCATTACATTTTGTATAAATTAAATCTTTTCTGTGCATCACATAGAAATTCTAGTCATTATTAAAGATTAACTGGTTTAATTTCTTAGTAATATGTAACAGCTCTTTTGTTCTTTACTTTTCATAATCTTTATTTTTCCTAATCTTTATCTTTCACTAATAGTATTCTATAGTGTTTATATGCTATATGTCCTTGCTTCTTTATATTTTATAGTAAATACAATAGGATAGAAAATAATCATACCATCAAATTTACTGGCATAAAACCACAGTGATGCAGTCCTACCTAACTAGAAAATACTGGTTCTTACCATTTTTCAAAACCAAAGGACATCAACACTGATTGCACACACTGAATATGAAGGAGGCCTGAACTCGTATTGCACCAACTGCTCTCAGCTTCCCAAAAGACACCTAAACCTTCAAGACTCAGTCTTAAATTTCTTTCTGTATCAGATCACACATCATACATACTGCCTAAGCAGCAAAATTTAATGACAGCTCACAGGCTTTTGATGTCAGTAAAAAGCTTTTGGAGAGTTGTTCACACAGTCTGCTGCCATGTGGCCTTATTCTGACAAATGTGTCAGGCAGGCATGCCTCTGTATGTCTCTCTCAAAACAGTCTGTATTTCTTTCATGGCTCTCTCTGGGGTGCTAATGGTCTTAATTTATAGTGCTTCTCATTCAAGAAATGCAAAGTCCTTTCCTCTCATAAACTATTATCTCCTTTCATGAACTAACATGTGACAATATTTCTATAGAATAGCTTGACAATGTATCAAGCCTTAAACTATACATGTACACCCTTTTACCCAAAATCAGCACTTCTAAAAGTTTATCCCAAGGAAAAATTACTCTCAAAGATGCATCAGGCATATACATAATAATTTTGATGCAACATTGTTTACAATTTTAAAAAATTAGGATGGACCAAAATGTCTAGCAATAAAAGATAGCTAAGAAAATGACGGTACATTTTGTTCTCTGATGGAAAATATTTATTAGCATGGAAAAAAGTCACAAGATATTGCTAAGTGAAAAAAAATCAGATCACTCAAGTACTATTTTATTTTAATATGTATCAAGAAGAGGGGTGGATTGACTACAAAGCTACCACACTTCACCAGCCATTCTAAGGTCAGGCATGTCCTCTTTCAAGAAGAAAGGAGATGTTTCAGCCACTGCCCCAGACTGGAAGGTCACCCTCTCCACCCTAGTGTCCACCTGGGGGTTCAAGAACATGCAGACTGCCAGACCTACCTCCATATCCGCCAAGCCTAGCAAGAACACATCTTGGAGAATCTTCTACAATATTCAGATCCTATCTTTGTCCCAAGGAGAAAGATCTGAATGGGTCACTGCCTAGTTTCCATCTCAGAAGACCACTTTTGACCCCAATCACATGGATACCTCCATATCCTCCAAACTGGACAGGCTTTGTGAGAGCCGGGCTTGCCTCCTAGCCAGAAACACCCAACCATCCTCCAGTCTGCAACAGAGGAAGTTACAGATGAGGCAATATCAATAAAGAGTGTGAAGCTTAAAAAAAAAAAAAAGACTTCTAAATTATCAAAAATAATAAATGAATTTTGATCAACTATTGTAAGAGAGACTAAATTATCTTTCTAGCTTCTCTACAGAAAATGGTATTACAAAATCATTGTCTTACAAAGAAGCAACCAGTGAGTGTTCAACCCGAAATGCAGAAGAGAGGAGTGTCAAACATTAAAATACTAAAAACAATAATTTTTTTATTTTTCTGGATTTATGGTAGTTTTCGACTTTTTAAAATTTGCAATTTCCATGATTTCCTTTACCATTCTATACATAAATATCCTTTTGAACTAAATTTTATAATTATAATTTTGTATTTTTTCTTCTTAAAGAAGGTCCCCCAAAAATGTAAAAATTTGGGCCTCACAAAAGTTCTAGATTCATTTCTGATGCAGAAAAAGTCCTGTAAGGACCAAAATACTCCATGATATTGGTGATGAGAAAACCAGTGAGATTATGGGGGATTTTTGTTTTGTCGTGTTTTGTTTTGTTCTGATTTTCCATGTTTTCTAAGTTTTCTAAGCATGTATTACTTTATAATTTTTAAAAACTTATAATGAAAAATGTTTAGAAAATTTCAACATTTTTGATGTACTAATGGCTATACATGTTATAGCTTAACCAACCCCCTAGGCTAAATTTAGAACATAGGTTAAAAATTTACAGTCTCTCAGTCTGGACACATAAGGAAAATGTCTTACACACAGGAAGCACTCAGTGAGTAACTGAATAAACAATATTTGAAATAAGACTCCTTTAAAATGTGGTCTTTAATATTTAACTGAGAGAAATGTCTTGCTAATGACATTTTTAACTTCCTAAGCTTAATAAATTACCTAAAATTAGTCTATGAATTAACCTGCCCACAGATTAATTAAAAGCTATTCTTGGAAAATATGAAATGGCAACCAAACCAATGGCTAAGAAATGATTAACCACCTCTCACAGATGCTAGCCCTCCTCCAGGTGTGAAAGCATACAAAATAATTAAACTGAGTTACAGAGCTTGCTCTCTAGAGCTTATAATATAATCAAAGAAATAAGATAATGTATAATGAAATGAGTCATGAACACAACTAATATCCATTATTACTTGTGTAAAAGTTCATGGTACAGACATTTAGAGAATAAGAACATATTAAGATTTTGATTGGGTAAGGAGGACAAATTTGGAAGGATTCAAAGAAGGAAGTTATCAAAGTATGTAGGTATCTTGAACAAGGCCTCACAGGATGTGGGCAAAATAGGCCTGGGGAAAATCCTTCCAGATTATGTAAATATAGTTTTTAAACCTCAGGGTAGGCTGAGCACAACAGGACTATGAAATAGGCAGGATACCAACCTGATGGAAGAAATCAGTATTTGTTGAGGAGTGAGGATTCATACTGACGTTTTTATAATGACTACAAGAGTGATGTTTGAAAAAACTCATCTCTGCCATAGAATTTAAAACTGAGAAAGTCAGAGACATAACCATATTTGAATTGGGGAGATGTACTCGATTAGTAAAACAAAAAAATACAAATTATTCATAACTATTCTCCCAAGTGCAGTTCAGTTAACCAAGATTTATTTGCATAACTAACTCTCTTTCTCTCTTATTTAAACCTGAAAACATGAACACATGTTTAAAATATACATATTTCCTTTATTTATTAGCAAATGTGAACAACAATCAGAATAACTTATATGTCTTTGTGTAGATATGGACAGATTAAAAAATAAAGTTTATAATAATTCATGTAATAGTCACCTGATGTACTGTAGCCAGGCAAAGTTTTGCTCAAGAGTGAAAGGAAATTGTTTTTTCACATGCCCATCAGGGATTCTACCAAACGTGTTTCCAAAAATTATGGCAGTTAATTAATTTCCTGGTAGAAAGAGAATATTCACTCTCCTGGTCAAGAGTTTCAAGAGACAATACAATACTAGAGAATTTTAGCTAAGAAGAAATTCGTTGTTCAGAAACCAGAACTTTTTAAATATTTTGAGTCCTCATTCTGGCTTATATGTATAGATGCAGACTCTGACCCACTTCATATCAAATATTGTGAATCTTTCGTAGGACTTTTAAAGACTACCAGCATGTAGTATAAGACATGAGAAAATGAAAATATGATATATGTTGAAAATAGAAAGAAGAGTATGAAAGTGACCAGAAGCATGTTAGATTCTCTTATGCTAAGTAAAGGAAAATTGTTAGAGCAAAGGGCTCGGTAAACAGCACTGGCATATTGAAAGTATAGAACCTCTTATCTTAAATTTCTCATGAAGAGATTTATAAACGTCTGGCTGTGTGACCCAAATCTCCCCAAAACAATCGGCCTACAGGGTACAAAAAGGTTACAATTATGATAACAGAGCTACCTCCAGGTTCACTGTCATCCTAGCACCAGACCCAGCCCCTCTAGGTCAACGGGCTTTTGGGGCCTCTCTCAAAGGCAAGTAAATGGCCATGACTGACACCCCACTTCCCTTGCAACTCTCAAGAGGCTCGGAGGCCAAGCTAATGGCCCCAGCCACAGCCCTCTTCCATTCCCATCATTACTGGCCGAAACTGGAGGAAATATCCTCATGTTACATCCTATTACCAACTCTGTATATTCACTCAATTTCTCAATGGTGCATATTTTACTTTCTTTCATTTTATTATTATATTTCTTTTACATTGGCAAAGTTCCCTTGGGAGGCAGGGCCGGATGCTAATTTGTGTTACATCGCTAACCAGGCATTTATGTGCTGGCTGAGCTGGGCTCCAAACATGATGAATACAGGCAGGCATCACTTCTCTGCCCATCCTCAATGCTGCATTTTACCCCCAACTCAGGTATTTATTTGCAAGAGTAATAACGGGACTTTACAGGCAGAGGTTGAAGGTTAAGGAAAGGATTGAAGAAAAAGTGAGAGGAAGGAGCGGAAGGTATAGCTTATGCTCCCCTTTAGTTCCCTTAAACTTTGCAGGAGCACCTGGCACAGGTATTAGAAGGAGACAAATAAAAACCAGGCTCTGAGAGCTGTCGCCAGGGTGACATCCTGGCTCTTCCATTTTTTCATCTGTAAAAAGGGATTGTCGTGATGATTAGGTTATTATTTAAAGTCTGACATATAATAAGCCCTCAATAAATATTTTTATGATAAAAAAATTAGGTCTCGAGACATAATTTTTCTTTGTTTTGCCTACTTCATAAGAAAATGTGGAAATTGAGAAAAACATCTATAGACCTTATGAGATAAAATATTGCCTTTCTAAGGTACAAATATAATTGAAAAATGTGTGTGGACAATGTCACAAGAGATTCTCAGCTCTTGCCTTTCAAAGCCTGTTTCATAAAAGAGAATATTTAATGGTTTCTGCCTTAGGAGGGGAAAGTCCATTGCAAAGTCAAGAATTTTGTGGTTTAAGTAAAGAAAATAAATGAAAAATACAAAAAAAAAGGGGGGGGTAATATTATTAGGTTTACTGTTCCCAGTATCTCAGATTATCACATGGAGAATTCAAGTTAAACATTTTGAGAACAGCTCAACTTTTCAATATCAGCTCTTGGAAATCATTAAAAAGTAAACTGCAGTAATAAAAGACGTTTCTTTAAAATAGTATCTACAAAGTGTTATTTAATGCTATCAACAGATATTCACAGCCATGACACAATGTGAAAATAGAAGCAATTTCTTATATTCATAAAAGAATCTCAAAACTTTGAAACCAGGCTTCAACTTGCAACATATAATTCCTAGTAAACAGGAGTTTTGTTTTTTTCCGACCCCTATAAAGAGTCAAAAATAAAATCTCTTGGCTATGCAATGAAGGATGTTACAATCTGATTTATTTATATCTAGTTCCACCTGAAGGGTTCTTCTCCTACTGTGCTTAAATTTCTAAGAGGCATGCATTCAGAATGAAAACAAGCTTTCAGTTTCTCTCCAGCATACCAATTAAAACTTCCACACTTAGTGGGAGGTGGTGGTTTGAGCCTTGAGGGTTGTGAGAAGATTAAGGCAAATATTTAAAATTTGGCTTTTATTTGTTTTATTATCTAAGCATCATGTTGGTTAGTTGCTTATTATTTTAGTAACTATTGTTCTCACAAAGCACAAATTTTAGGAACATCTGTCACACTTATCTATAAATTTATTCTAACCCCTTCTTCTATATTCTAAAGATAAGCATTTTTGTTCACTGGAAGAGGTTACTATTATAGCATTTTGGCACAAGACTAGAAACTAACCATTCTAGATTTTTTTCAAGGATAGCCTGAAAAGCACTTGCTAATCAATCCTACAGAATACAAGCAAAGAGAAAAGGATTTAGCGGTCAAATAAGAGTGGAAAATGCTGCAAGTTATACCACACTTGTGGCATATTAAAAGGTATGAGAAGTACCACTTAAAGAAAACTTAACTGCTTTTAATTTAGCTCTCACAAATTTTTTCTTTACTACAAAACTCCTTTCACACAGAACATCTATACAAATCCTAAATGTCGATCTTTTTTGGTCTACCCATTGGGCAATGCTGGGGTAGAGAACAGCAAGGCAGAAGGTTGTATGGATGGACCTTCAGAGTCCTCCTAGGATGTGACCTAGGACCCTTTCAGTTATGTAGTGAACTTTCCGGATCATCAAATAATTCTCAGTAACAGCTAATTTGTATGCCGTATCCATTTCAAGCAAACCATGTATTAAGCTCATCCTAACGGCTAAATTATTACAACCGCCATGTGTGGGTAGCACTGTTATGATTTCATCTACAAAGGAGCAAACTGAGTTCAGAAAGGTTAAGTAACTTGTATAAGGTCTTATTGCTATTAAGGGGCAGAACCAAAGTCTGTCCATTTCAAAAAAAAAAATCAGTGCATTTTCTAATACCTTAAAATGCAGAATGAATATTAATATTAATAATCTGAGAACTTGTTGTGGAGATTATCTCTTGTGTTCCGCCCTACGGATTCAATATTCAGC